AAAATGACGTGAACGCACATCAGTGTGATGAGAACTGCTGAAATGACAGAAACCACCTCTGAGGAAACGGATTTGACTTTTTAGTTTGGCTAACATGGAGGAGGTGTGGTGCTGTCTATCTTTGTTTCCAGTCTACGAACCCGCCCTGAAGTATGACGTGGCTGTAATCTCAGGTGTCAACACATAGACCTAACTTGTTATAATGTATTTGTGTCCTCACAGATCCATGCTGAAGAACTCTCAGAGCCGTCAGAGCTCAGCTCATCAGGTAAGAGAACATCTGTTGTTCTCAAGTTTGTTTATACGTCAGTGTCATTTAAATGTTTATAATAAGAGGCTGTTGCAGTGAAAGGTGGCTGCAGCTACATATGAAAACTGAGGACGTTTGTTTTTTCAGAGCGGTGGTCTGGACAGCTCTCACTACAGTTCAGCCTCCATAGGCAGCATCCCGCTGCACTCCCTGCCTCATGTTCTCCAAGAGCAGATGAACGGAGCCCTTGCGAATGGATCAGGATATCACAGTGACAGCAGTGCCACACAGTCCCCTCCGCAAGCTTTGTGAGTTTCACCTCCAGCCCTCTGTTCCCTGAGCTCTGCAGTGACCTGGTATTAGCGTCCACCCTGAGTGATCACACCACAAGTGGTCGGTTAACATATGTTAACGCCACAACAACGTGACCACCTCATAATGTCTGATACTTCGCTTAAATTTGTAAAATCATTCACAGCGCAGCTGGACAAGAATTCATTCAACCCCTTCTGACTCTCTCTGCATACAGAGCAGGAGACACACGCAGGACAAATTTAAATCCGGTGTCAGGTGTGAACAGATGCTGTTCACTCAGATCTCACAGGACGGATGTTAACACCAGGCCTTTGACTCAGTTACGGTTTAATATGCAATGATGTGATTAAAAATCCTGATTGTGTGTGTTTTCTTTTAATCTGCATGGTTATGGAACCAGCATTAAAGAGGAGCAGGAGGATGAGGAGATATGTGAAAATTACCCCTACGAATCTCCGGAGAGCACGGACGAGCACGGCCACAGCCCCGAGATGAACCAGGAAGAAGACAACAGCAGCCTAAGGAGGCACAATCTCCATCTGGATCGCATGCCTTCCCTCTGACCGCGAGGTCCGAGTTCTCCGCTGCAAGTTCTCACTCACCGCCTGTGTGACTTTGTATTCCAAAAAAAAAAAAAAAACTGCTTCATCTACATAACCAAACCACTCTGTTCTTTGGGATTTTCTTCAATATCTGCCTTTCTTATTTTCGTTCACGATCTAGTTCTTAAATCTTTCTGTACAGTAGAGTGATATCACAGAAATTGTCTTTTCATGATTTTTCTTATTTTATATATATATATATATCTGTACACAAAAGGACCATGAAGAGCAAAGAAGCCAAAGCAAAGGGAACATCGATGATTAGCACTTCACAATAAAAGAAATCTCCCCTCCTTGTAGCTACTTTATGCTGAGTAGGGGACCACACTACCTGATTTTATTTTAGTAGTCACAATATTTAAAATGTAGAGGAAGTAAAGAAAATGTTCACTGCCAACGTGATCTGATATATTTGTATTTAAAGTATAATCAATTGATCAAAAGAATACGTAACTTCTCTATGCTTGTTTTTTTTTTTAACCCCTCCCACAAACATTGTTCAAATTTGCTCTAACGGAGCTTGTAAGAGTAGATACTATAGATTTACCATTATTGTAAACCGATGCATCTCTATGAATAATAAATTCCTCATGATAAATGTGAACACTCTGTGTCCTCTATCTACATTCATGGTCGTCTTCAGTAATGAAGTTATGGTCTGGTGATGTTTTGTTTTTTACCTGATAACAGCCCCACTTCTCTCCGTCAACGGTAATGACTTCTTAATGGAAGGTAATGGAACAAAGCAAATGTTCCGGGTGGCGAACTTTCCACTGTGGTATGTCTATTTTAACATCCTATAAATTCACCTCTGTACTATCAGCGGATGTGGTTTGAACAATGATCATTGTGAAAACCTCTGATTGAAGATAATACATTACTCCAGGATAATTTTCTCATTGTCCCACAGAACCCAGGTGTTTGATAAGTGGCTCTAGTTCGGCCCTCCGTCGATAAAATGCCATAATTGAGTGGATCTTCTGGGCATCGCAGATTTGTAGTTGTGCTTCGTGACTGGCAAGTATTGATCGACGTGGAGTGTGCTCACAATGCGGGCGTGTGCATGATGATGGGACGTACTTGAGCTCAACCTCAGAGGGATTACAGTGTTGCAGAGGCTTCGGTTTACGCTGTTGGATTGTTAACCAGCACAGACGGGTAATCTTCACAGCAAATTCATCTGCAGGATTATTATTATTAATGTTTTTAACCAGTTTAGTTTTTCTTGCATGATTCCTTTATATTTAACTCAAAAACAAGAGGTTGCATGAATGTTTTATTCTCTGACAAATGTTAGTCTTTAGTTGTGTTTCTCTTCTCACCACTTTGTCCTGCACAAGATGACAACTCCTTCAAAGCCTCCTGTGAATGATCAGGATTATATCAAGCTTGAGGAGCTGGGAGACCATGTTTCTGATGGTAGGTCGTTCAGTTTGTTCTGCTTCTGACTAGAATACTTCATGTGGTCCCTGACCAGTGTTTGCAGGAGAGTTTATTTTTTCCTGAGAAGCTGAAATAGACCCAAATAAATAGAATCTAATCTTATCTCTTCTTGTTGAAGTTGTATGGAGCAAATATTTTCACTTCACATCTCACCTCCCAGACTTGATGTTAATTTTACCCTGACAGATACAATGCAATGCAAAAAAAATATTCACAAATGGTTTCAGTATTTATGTTTATGAATATCAAAACTTACTCTTACATAAAAATCTGTGCTGAAAAGATCAGAATGTATGTTGACACCTTACAAAAACAATTATCTTTAGTAATTGTACTGATTGTTATAATCATATAATAATTTGTGCATCTGTTTCCTGCTTCTTCCTTTTCAAAGGGAATGACCCCAAACCAGTGACTGGCAGTCCAACCAGAGAGACCACAGGGATGTTCGGTGTTCTCCGCAGACCAAGCACCATCTCAGAGCTAGAGCTGGACATGGTAGAGGCCGAGCCCAGCTCCCATGATCCCCTGGGGGGCAGTGAATTGGGTGGCTCCAGCTGCTCCATGTGTTCTGACATGTTTAAGAGCAGCAGCAGCCATTTGTCATCAGATGATTCATACCAGCCGGGCACTGGAGGTACGGTTAACTGCTCGAAGGTAGAGCAGCTGATGCAGTCGAACAGAAAATAGCATGAGAATGTTTTTCTAATCATTAACAACACTATCAAATCTTGATTCATGCTTAGAGGTGCGCCACATGACACCTTCAGAGATTTGAACTTCTCTCTTTTGACCTTTTCCTCTGTTCCTCCACGTCACCACCACCAGATGACTGCGCAGCGCTCCTGCTCGCCTGTCTGTACTGTCGTTTCCACGAGTTAATGGCCCTGCTACCGGATACCTGCGAGAGGGCAGTGAGCCGCTGTTTTCCCTCGTACAAAAACATCATGGCGGCCAGTGAGTGGGATGAGCAGGGACAGGACTGCTGCGGTCACAAGCTGGAGCTGGACTGTAACTTCTTTGAGTCCTGTAAGGACGCAGGCGACCTCGTGGAGCTGGCCATGGAGATATCAGAGGTGTGCTATCGCTGAAACGTTCCCCTCTGACCTGCGATGAAACAAAAATCACCACGTTATACATTCATTTAAAATGATGCTGCTCAACTGACATTTACTTTACACCCTCGTGTTTCTCATGCTGCATATAACAGATAACTAGAGTCAGACTCAATAGAAATAACACCTCCGCCACGGCCCGAAGAAGAAGATTTAAATTCGCCATATCCAGGTTTTCATCTTGATCTGCACCCAATGGCACACACTCATAAAAGCCAGTTCCCTAAATACTTCTTTCATCAAGATGATTCATGGGAAAATGGTGAAAATCTTTATTACAAAAAAACGCCCTATTTTGCGATGTTAAAGAAAGTGATAAAAACAAAATCCTGGATCTGTCAGGTCACGATACCATACAAATAAAAAAAACAAAGTACAAGTATAAGACTTTACTCAATTCCACTTTTAATACCACATTAAAAAGTGAAACGGTCCAAGGTCACACAGATAAGATTGTTTTGACTTCATATTACCATAACACACAGTGCTGGTACATAAACGTATCTTAACATCAACATTATTAATACTCAATCTTAAATGGTCTCCCTACACATTCCTTATGTAGTTAATGCTTCTGGTTATTTTCTTATTATTGCTTCACTTGTGAATACGATGCATTGGCTTCATTGTAAAAAACAAATATTGTGATGGTGTCCCTTTGGACTTTGTTAATCAGTGATTAATTAATCCATAATGATAATAATCATCAGTTGCAGTCCTTTAATGCATGACTTATAATAATCTGATGTAAAAGTACAACTGTCAGGACATGTTTCTGCACGATTGAGTACTTTTACTTTTCCCATAGCCGATGCTTGCAGTGTCGTACCGGTTTTTACTTTACAGTATTTTTACAGTGTGGCATTAATACTTTTACTGACGGGTGATTTGTTGCAGGAAGTGAAGCGAGTCTGTGGGGGTGTGAGAGAACCAGCACGTTGCTGCAGTCACAGATAAGTTCATTTTATAAGGAATAAGTTACTTTAGCCGGCTTCAACATGTGACTGAACACAGACAAAGTCTTGAAAGGCACATATCACCTACAAGTTAGACCAGTACTTATGAATTAGTCCTGTCCCTCAGTTGCCAAATAAGTCAATGCAACTGTAGGATTACCTATAGGTACACTACAATATAGTATAAAAATACAATATAATATATTATTCCTCCAGTTAAATTCGCTCTGAACTTTACTTCAACTGTACTGCAGCCCCTTCCCCCTGTCACACATTCTCCACTGACATTTTACACGTATGCTATCCTTTACACGTCACACCACAGAGTAGGCTGAGAACATTTGGCAGCGCCGGGAGTTTCAGGGACCATGCTTTCACCTAACGACTGCAGCCATTCACCACAGACCAGGTTTGATCTGGTCCAAGTGAAAGGTGCATGGACCAGACAGACGGAGCAGAGGCAGGTGGCAGAGGGAAAGTTAAGTGATGCTAAAATGTAAGTACTGAATTGAAAGCGATTCATGTCACGTGTTTAAATGATTATCGTGATTTAATGTGAGAAATTATTGTA